TTCAGCTGCTGTTCACCTTGTTTTTGCATAGCTAAGGGACGAAACATCTGCCACATGAACATTCACAGCAAATGCATCCAACCATATTGGTTATGTGCGCAAAAGGGAAGAAAGCCTTGGTGCCCCTCTGTGAGATCAGCACAAGCAGAATTAGAGTTTTCTCCTTTTTTGTTTTTTTTTCCTCTAAAAATAAGAAGAAAATTAGGAATATAGTTTAGTTTGAAGGATCTGATTGCTCTGATACTGTATTACACGTATAGTACCAAAGAGAAGGAAGAGAGAGATGGGAGGAAGAAGTGAGAGAAAAGTAAGAGGGAGTGAGTTGAAGAGAGAAGGTGAGAGAATGGAGAAAGGTGGTTGGATGCAGTCTCTTTAGGGTTAGATAGCCTCCAGTCCCACTCTATCTTGTCTATAATGATAAATTATGTATAAAATATAGTAATCCAGCCTTGAAAGCTGGTCTAGAAGGCCAAGAGCTGCTACCGTGGTTGGGGTCAACCACCATTCTTAGTTTGAAGATGACTTATGAATGTAAGTTCTCATAGTACTTATGTGACTCTTGTTGCTAGTTTGACCCGGTAGTGGTCATTCAATCAAATACAATTAGGCATTCTCTTTTGTCCTTTAGCTGCTAGCTTGGGTAGTAGTAAGTGAGTAGTTTGGTTGCTAGTTGGTTCGTCAGATAGACTATAGGGAATGCAAACCCAAAAACATTATTCCATGTGAGTCACCCTTATAAACAAACCTTATGTCCTTAAGTATATAAAAATGACAAGAATGCCCTATTGGCCCACAGTAAAGACAACCAAAATAATCTAATATTCAACATACCTAAATTGGTTAGTATCTATCTACATCTATTGTTTTGATATTCATTTTCTTTGCTTACTATTTTGAGAACCATACTGATCTTAGGGTTTTTTTAATTTATTATTTGCATTTTTTTAAAAAATATTTTCCATGTTCTATCTCCATTTTCAATTCTAGTTTTGAAACTTTGGAACAAGTGAAGCTTCCCTCAAGAATTAACATCAGTGAAGCTTCCGTCAAGAATTAAGTGATTTTACTAGTTTATCTTAAGAATTAAGCTTCCCTCAAGATAAGGTGAAAAAGATGCCTTCAAACTAGCAAAAATGAGAGAGAGAAAGTGTAGTGATGTAGATCATGTTAAATACATTAAGAGTGAGGCAAGGCAAGGTCAATGAAAAGTGGAGAATTATTTTTCAAAATTGTTAAATAACAACCGCTTTAGAAACACACATTAGGAGGAACCTTTGATATAAATGAGCTTGGAGGTTATAGATACATTCACAACATTAGGATATCTGAAATGAAAGAAGCTTTAAGAAAGATGAAGATAGGAAAGGCTTTAGTACTAGATGGTATACCAATGGAAGTTTAGGAAGTGCATGGGAGAAAAATTGCCTAGTTGGCAAAGCTATGCAACAAGATTTTGAGAATGAAAAAAATGCCAGACTAATGGAGAAAAAGTATTGTAGTACTTATTTATAAGAACAAAGAAACAAAGTTGTATGAACTATGGAGGGATCAAACTTATGAGCCTAAGCTGTAAGAGAGAGAGAGAGTGATTGAGCACCGACTACGACATAAAACGAGTGTATCAGAAGATCAGTTTAGTTTTATGCCATGGATGTCAACCATTGAGGCTATTTTCCTACTTAGTCAATTGATTGAGAATTTTAAGGAGAAAATACCACCATATGGTCTTTATTGGTTTAGAGAAAGCATGCAATAGGGTACCTAGAGAGTTAATTTGTTGGGTATTGAAAAAGAAAAGAGTCTCTAGAGGATATATTGGCATAGTGAGGGATATTACGAGGTAGTATGAACTGGTATGAGGATAACTAGTGGAGAGACAAGTGAATTTCAGTGATAGTGGGCCTACATCAGGGCTCAACATTGTTTTATTGGGTTGTGGATGAGTTAACCAGGCATCTATGGCATGAGGTACCGTGGTGTATGTTAGCGGATGACATAGCTTCGATTGATGAGACCGAGACAATATCAGCACAATGTTAGAACTTTGGAGGGATACTCTAGAATCTAGAGGTTGTAAAATTAGCCTGACTAAGACAAAATATATAGAATGCAAGTTTGGTAATAATATGAGTAAAAACGAGGAATTAGTTAAGATTGATGGCCAAGAAGTACGAAAAGGAGGTTATTTCCGACATCTTGGGTCGACAATCCATGAGAATAGAGAGATTGAGGAATCCGTGCTGCATAGAATTAGAGGTGGGTGGATGAAGTAGAGATGTGCTTCTGGAATCTTCTGTGATTGTCGCATACTAATGAAATTGAAGGGGAAGATTTTTATGATGGCTATAAGATCGGTCATGCTTTATGGGACAACTGTTTAATGGTCTAGAATCAACATATCCATAGAATGAGTGTAGCTGAGATGTAGATGTTGAGATGAGTGAGTGTCTAAGACAAGAAAGGATAGAATTTGGAATGAACACATCCAAGGGAACTTAGGGGTTTCTCGAATAGACGAAAAGATGAGGGAAAGTAGAATTAGGTGGTCTAGCCATGTGCAATGTTGGCCTATAACAACACCGATTAAGAGGGGTAATTTGGTACAGTGGAAGGTGCTAAAATGGCAATGACAAGGCCCAAAAGGACATCAATGGAAGTAGCGACAAGAGATATGATGACTTATGGTCTAACCAAATGTATGACCCTTGATAGAGCGAAATGGTGGAACAAGATTGTTGCAGCCAACCCCAAATAGTTGGGGTAAGGCTCAGATGATGATGAAATTTATTCTATTTTTAGCTATGTGTTTGTCTCTCACTCATATCCCTTAATAAAAACGAATGCTCAATTTACTTTTTTTTTGCTATTAAATTTTTGGCTACAGTTCCTCCTATTTTCTATGACCCCAATTTCGGGTCTATAGTGAACTTGCTTTTGAGAATGGATTTTTTTCAATTTTATGTAGGAATGACACACCAGTTGGTTTCCCAATGGAAGAAATGTGCATGCTGATAATGAAAGTGAAACAGTCAATCGTTTAATGAATCTCCTCTTGTATCTTTCTGTGAGTAGATCAAAACCTTAATATCAATATGGAAAATAACCTCACATATTAAGTCATTAGTTTTTTTTTTTTTTTTTTTTCTTTCAGGGCCACAATTTTGGCCTATGGGCCTGGCCGCTTCGACCCGAGGTCTTGGCCACCTGGCCAACGGCCATGGGTCGGGCCTGGGCCAGGCCCATGCCTGGCAACAATCCATGCCAGGACCGCATGATTTCCATTTTCATATTACAAGCATTAACATTTCTTTCTACATGACTTCTAACGTACCTATTATGACTGTGTTTTTGTATATGCGTATCACGAGGGGTTCTTTTTCAGAATTATTACATTCTTCGACATTTACTTGCTTAAGCTTCTTCTTCTTGTCTTGTCATCACCATTGATCAGTCTGCTAGGGAAAAGGGCACTTGAGAAGTAAAATGTTCCCTGATTCTTGACAATCTTTCATGATCAATTTTAGTTTTTATTAATTCCTATTTATGTTACAATCAAACAAGGTGTTGCATGCCCATAGATCTTTTACTGAGGAAATTCATTAAAAAGATGATCAAACTTCTTAATCTCTTTTAGTGTTTTGATTTTCATTATATGTTATCATTTCTATTTCATTTTTTTCTCCATTTGTACATTTAGATTTTTCAGTAATGTATTATTTGAATTATTTATACACAGGCGTGCACACACGTGACACAACCAATCTTTTATGTTCCCAAAAAATAAAATATCATGTTTTAATGATTACATTTATACTTCTTCTTAATGTTTTTTTTGATAAACGTTAACTTATATACCTTTTCTTAATGTTACTAATCCATTTTCATAATTACAATACATTTTCATAATTACAAAAACAGATATTGTTATGGAGGCAGTTCATAAAAATTTGTCAATGAATACATATTAACTGTTCTTCACAAACTATGTGAGATGCCTGATGTAATTAGGATGCGGTATCATTATGTGCATAATAGAAAGTACATTAGTTTTCTTGTTGTTTTCTTTATTCTAGAGCTCTCTCTCTCTCTCTCTCT